GGGCCGCTCCAAGCGGGCGGGGCCGCCAGTCCCCTGCGCCGCAGAGGCGGAGCGAGCAACCCTTACCTGTAGTGACATAGGTTCCCTTCGGCTTCCGGCGCGCGCTGAATCTCCTAGCAATTTGCGAGGAAAGAGCAAGGGCCCGGCGCATGGCGCCACACGTTTTTTTCGTATCACTCTCGCGCCAGCGCAAACGGCATCCACACCAGAAGCCGCGACCGCCGCGGTTCTGGGTTTGACGTCTGTCAGAAGCGTGCGCGCCGCGCGGCCCCGCCGATGATGACCGCATTAGTGTCGCATCTCTATCTGTTGTGCCCCACCCCGCCCGATGTATGATCAAAGCCTGCCTGCTGCCCTCCCAGGGGTGCGTCGCGTCGTCTAGTGTGCTCTTGTGTGTGCGTGCATCATGTGGCGTGTCATCCGTCGCCTGAAGCCTCTAACAGCACCCCAGAGGCAGCAGCCCGGGCTGCGCCTCTGTGCGTGAGAGGGCCTGTAGAAGGTCCTGCAATGTGTGTGGTGACTAACTGGTGGTCGTGGAGTCAAGCGGTCGAGCCGATTATGGTCCTTTTGGTCACGGCTGCCGGCGTCAGCATATCCGTCAACACTGAAGATGATCATGCGCGAGGTCTGATTATGTGTAACCTCCATCGTTTCACGTGATGCGGGAAGCTTTGCAGCTGACGAGGATGCAGCTGGCGCCGGCCTATCTCAGGCGGCGTGGGCTTAGCATTTAGAGTCCGCTCACACAAACGCGCCAAGGTGTCATTTACAACACTGGATCAGAGTCAGTTCGTAGTCAAAAGCTCATACCTTTTGTGCAAGCAGTGAATAAGCTGGCAGCGCGACGCGCTGCTGTACGCGGTAAAATCAAAGACGACGAGAGCTGCGTCCCCGTGAGGCATCCTTGGCACCTGGCCAACCGCCCTCGCGACCCGGCAGCGAGCTTGGGGAGCGTTGATAGCTGGTGGCAGTGCGGTGGAAGAGCTGCTTTCACGAAGAGCGCGGCGCAAATGCGTCTGTGATGGATACACGATCGACACCGCTCAGCAGGCCAGCGCGGTGTGAAGCAAACATGGCTGTGGGATGTTGATCATGCAGTCGCCAGGTGCGGTGGGCACAAAGCACTGTTGGCATTTTCATGCCAGTCCTCGGTGATACTGCCTTGACCGCGGTCGAAGGCCTAGCACCGCTTTTATCATGGCGCCCAAACAACACAGCCCCACTGCAGCGCCAGCCAGCAGCGCCCGCCTAGCACGGCGCAGATGCTTTCGGCTGCGAGCGGGGCCTCAGGCAGCCTGAGGCGTGGCGCCCAGGCGGTTGAGTGTGGCCAGCATCAAGTTGGCGAAGACGATTGACACAAAGTGCGCCAGCAGCACGTTGGTGGAGGCCTGGGAGGGTCGGGGCATGGGCACCAGCGGCGCTCGAACTTGTAACAGGTGTGGTGGGAGCGGAGAAAAGTGCGTGGTGCGTCGCACCGGCCATGACGGCCTCCTTGGCAACATGCTTGCAGAGATTTAAAAAGCAGAGGGAGGGCTGCAAAGATACACCAAGAAATTGCAGTGGTGCCGCCCCGCAGCCTGGCAGCCTTGCAGGAGCTTAGCCCTGGTGACTAACCAGAGCAGCTGCATGGCTGCCAACCTTGCCAAATCCCCGGCCCTCAAGACTCACACTGCCGCATGCACACAGAAGCAACCAAGCAATCTTGGGCTGCGCTCCTTGCGATTTCCCTTGACATGCCCACGACCCACCTGCAGCGAGAACACGTCCAGCGACATGAGGGTGCCGCCGGGCTGGGGGGCTGCGTAGGGCGCGTTGGCGGCTCCCAGCATCGTCTTGGATACCAGGGTGCCCACTGGATTCAGGAGGGCCGTTTGCCAGATTGACACAGGGATAGGGTTGACGCTTGAGGTTTTGTTTTGAGGCAGGCAGCCAAAGTTCAAAAAATGAAGCAGGGTGCAGGAATGCGTCCAGAAACTGAGCAGCCGCACAGCCTGATGGAAGCAGAGCAGAGCGCAGATGCGGGTGCTTCGAGGCAACGGCAGCGACCAAGCCGATGCCTGCGATCGAGGCAAAGCCCTCCGCAGGGCAGGGCCCTCACCAGAGGCCTGCAGGCCGATCAAGACAACGCCAACGCCAGCCAGGTTGATGTTGATGTTGCGGACCTGCCAGCGGCGGCGCAACGGCAGTTTGACCAGGGTTGACCATAGCGTTTGCGCTCGTGGTGCAGCGTCTCGACTTGCATGCATAACAACCCCAGCAAACTCAGCATGCATTTTCTTAGCTTTCCGCGCGTCCTGCATGGCATTTCACATCAGTACAGAGACGTGCAACCAACGTCCATCGGAAACACGCTTTCAGCTGGAAGCCCAGTCCGGAACTAACTCTTGAGGGCTCTCACCAGGTTTGAAACCAGGAAGCTGCGCTTGACCTCCTTGCCCTCGCTGATGGCCTGGCGCGCCAGCGTCAGGAAGCCGTGGGCGAAGAAGGTGGAGAGGAAGCCGAAGACGATGCCCGCAAAGGTGAACCAGCGGGAGACGTCTGAGGGCTGCGGGTTGGTGTGTGTGCATGTGTGCATGTGTGTGTGTATACGTGTGTTTGTTTGTGTGTGTGTGCGTGTGTGCGTGTGTGCGTGTGTGCGTGTGTGTGTGTGTGTGTGTGTGTGTGTGTGCATGCGCGAGCGTGAGTGTGCAGCATGCAGAAATCCGCGGGTAGTGTGTGTGTGATTGGAGGAGCACAAATGGGGCTGCAATAAAGTCCGGATAATTACAGGGCCACACAGCGGCGTTTTGCCAGCGCACGATGGGCTGGACACGCGGGGCTGCGCAAAAGTGCAGGGAAGCGACTGTCGGTGCTTTGCAGGCTGCAATCACATGGACATTTGTGCACGAATGCGGGTGGGTTGGGGTTTCTCTCGCGCCCTACTCGCCCTGCCCCTCCAACCACAGGAAGCTGCATCTGGCCTGACACCTCAAGCAAAAGTGTTCGGACGACACAGTGCCACAGCATCCCCTGCCTGGCGGCCTCACCCCAGACAATTGGGTCGCGAAGAAGAGGATTGCGGATGACACCACAGACAGCGGCAGCTGCACCCAGAAGGAGCCGAACGCCAGGTTGCGCACGAGGCCCGCGCTGGATCCCAGGGTGTCTGCGCTGACCGGGACGTCGCCTGCAGAGGCGCGCACGGACAGCTGCGTTGAAGGGGGCGGCACGGGCGGTGCAAGGGTTGGCATCTGGCGGCAAGATTTTTGAGCGTGTCCGGATTTTTGTGCCGGGCAGCGTTTGAAAGCCACTCCCACCATGCGTACGCGCGCACCATTATGACCAAGCATGCATGTCACTTTGCTTCGGCAGGCTGCGCTGGCGCTGGCTTGCTGTGCGCAATGCAGCCAGGCTCTCATGCGTGCGAGCGGTGAGTGCATGCAGAGGGAGGGCAGGGATCGGCCGCTGTTTGGCAGCACAAAAAATGCAATTGGACCTCATCTGTACCCTCGTTGCAATGGCCGTGCACAAGCGGAAGACCAGGCACGACTGTTGACACTGTCCACGACCTCACCTGCTTGCGACTTGCCGGGCCTGCGCGAGGTGACGGGTTACTCACAGGTCTAGTACCACCGATCCTCACGCTCACGGGGCGCGCAGCCCCAAGGACTGCAGGGCGGGCCCCAATCTGGCTTCGCGCGAGGGTCTGCATGGTGAGATGCTTTCGACTATGATAGGGAACAAATTGAATGCATACCGCAGTCGCGGAGGTGGCGGAAAGCACACAAGCAGCCTCGCCGACCACTGCGGTTCCCGGGTTCCGTCACTCGGGGCGTCACTGGCTCGACAGATCGCAGGCGGCCAGGTGGGTCGTCATTGCGTTTGACCGCGCAAGCGACCGCTACCGTCTTTGACACATGGGCCAAGAGCATCATGTAGCCGCCGCTCACATCCAGCGCAGCATTTACAGAACCGCGACCCTGCACATGCACTCTACTTGCTACTTGCAAGCTGCCCTCCCCTCGATCGTGCCTGCAAGCTCGCTGCGCATGTCGAGCGCCTGACCCATGAACATCCCTGAAATTGGGAGCTCTACAACTGTGATTTACCCGCGAAACCCGTCCTTCGCCCGCCGCACGGCGCCAAACGCCTCCCAGTCCTCGGCCGCCTCGCCTGCGCCCGTTTTCGCCCGGATTTCGGGGTCGTGGGGCCGCAGGAACGGGTTGGTGTCCAGCTCCTCCCCCAGCAACGACGGCACGGTCGCCTCGCCCTGTGCAGCGCATGGAGCACACGACGGCAGCAGGCCGCTGTCACGAGTGTGTTGGGGTGGAGGGCACCGGGGCTGGCCAGCGACACGCCTTGGGTGGCAGCCCAATCACAAGGCCGCTGGTGCCTGGGGACGCTGCGTATCACTCAGTGAGCATCCACCAGGCCGCCATCAACACCATGCCTGGCCATTACCGCAAGAAATCTAAAAGATGACCGATCAACCGCGCTCCGTTGTTGATGAGCCGCATCGCGGCGCGCCGGTGACGCATGCCAACAAAAGTACTGCCCACCTTGGAGCGCGCCTCGTCGATGTTGGCCTTGCGCGCCTGCAGGGCTGCGTTGCCGGGGTTCACCGCGACAGCAAAGCGCGCATTGGAGGCCGTATACTCATGGGCACAGTAGACCTGTGTGTGTGCCCGTGTGTGTGAATTTGGTTGTGTGTGTGAGTTTGTGTGGTGTGAGTTTATGTGTGCGTGCACGCACGTGCGCGCGCTCGTGTGTGTTTGTGTTTGTGTGTGTGTTTGTGTGGGGTGTTTGTGTGTCTGCTGCACAAGATGCTGTTTCAGACTGTGTGGCACGCTCGACAGCGCACAACTGTCAAGTCCCCATGAAACTGAGGCGATGGCACCCTTACCGCCTTGTCCAGTTGCTGCAGCGGCGCCTGCAACGTCCATCCAACGCCACGCTTCCAAAACCCAGGATGAGGGAGGGGCCAGGGCACCCCCGCAGCGCAGCGGGCTATGCACAAACGCAACATGCAGACCTGCATGCGTGGTTTGCATCTAACACGTGCCGCTCCTTGCCTTTGTTTCGCGGGGCAGGGCCGTCAGCTTTGATAGGGATGTCCACATCGTTTTCGGGTCCCCCTCAAACAGGCGGCCGCAGCCCAGGGCGAACAGAGTGTCGCCTGCAGGGCCGAGGGGTGTGCGAGGCGCGGGGGACGAACCCAGAGTGGGGTCGGGCAAAGAGGCATCTCTCAGCGGCCGATGTTGGTCCAGGAGCGGCGCAACACAGCACATGCTTGGCGGTGCCCTTGCCCCGACGATGCCAAGAAGGATCGCAGTTTTCCTTGCAACATGCTGTTCAACAATACCGCTGACATCCCCTTGAAACGCCTACCCGGGAAAAGCGCGGCGGCTGCTGGGAACCAGAAAGTGATGTGCCCGCGCGTGTGGCCCGGCGTGTCGAACACGCGCATTGCCTGAGATCCGAACTGGAACTCGTCCCCGTCCCCAACCTGCACATCAATCCCCGGGATGCGCGCGGCGTCCGCTCGGGGCCCGACAATCTGCAATTTGGATGGTGTGGGAGGACCGGCTTAGGAGTTTGGGGGTTGGCGGCAGGGCGCCGGCTTGGGCTCGAGGAGAGGCTAACGTGGACACCCGCACACACACACACATGCCTTCGCGTGCAACGGTGCGATTCAGATGCACTTTCGCATGTGCATGCGTGCGTGCATGCGTGTGTGTGCAATTCAACGCACGCACATGCAGGGGCGCGACAGACCCGCACCTGCAGCCCGGGGAAGGAGCGCTTGAGCTCGAGGTTGCCGCCGGTGTGGTCTCCGTGGTGGTGCGTGTTGAAAATGTAGTCCAGAGTCCAGCCCCTGCGGATCGATGCCCACCAGGCGCACTGTTGTGATCATGCGCTCCGATTTTGCGGGGCGCAACCGGTTTGCAAAGGTGGACAGGCCGACCGCGGCGGCGGCGGGCGTGCTTGCACCTACTTCGCGCTTCAATCACAGCCGGCGAGGGAACACCTCGCTTATCCTCTCGCACGCGCCCTTGCAGCTGAGGCCAGAAATGCCAGAGTTGGTTCCAATCCACCCACCAAACGACACGGCCATAAACATGGACACTAAAGCGCATCCGCTGCCCTCAAGCTGCCTTGCCTCTCCCTTCGCCAATCAATTGCCCAATAGCTTGGTAACGTCTGCGTGCCGACCCACTCCGACCCGCCAAATAGCAGCCAGCCACCCTCAGTCCAGCAGGGAGCGGGGGCGCACCTGCTTTTCAGCTCTGAGAAAACAGGGCCCGTCTCTGCGGGATCAACCACCGCCGTCTTGCCGCTGGTGGGCTCCTTCAACAGCCATATGTAGTTGTCAGAAAGCGCGGGCAGGCGCACCACCTCCATGGAAACGGTTGAGGGGGCTGCAGCGGCCCCGGTGGCCGCGGCGAAAGAGCGCCCTGCGACCCGCCGCCTGCAGGCGGGCGCGGATGGGGTGTGATCCATGTCGGTGGCGCTTGCACGCGGGCCGCTACGCTTATGATGTGCATGGTCGGCTGAGTGGGCTCAAAACGCGCATTCTCCGATCAGGCGCCAGGTTGCAAGCATTTGGTTGCATGGCAGCCATGCGCCACACAGCAATAGCTCGGCGTCATGATCGGCGTCGCCCGCGCCACTCACTGGGCCGCTGCCGCACGAGGCCGTGCCTTCCCTGCTACAATCAAAGAACTGCACGAAGCGCGTTGGCAGGCAAGGGCTAGCTTGCGGCTTGCAGAGAGCATCAGCGATCGCGCACTGGGGGAGACACACTTGGTGAGTGGCAATGCAGTTGTGAGGCAAGCGATCGATTAGTTCACAGTTGACGGGAATGAGCCTGAACGACTGATTGCGATAAGTTGAAGGCCGCGTTTCGGTGTTCCGTCACCTGCTGTATCACCCTGTGCAATCACACATTTTAGCCACCACTTGCCTTCTGATCATGCTGAATATGCTAGCAAAATCACCTGTTCGCGGGCATGTGGGCCACGCGGCCGCGCGGCCGCTCTTTGGGCTACTCGCTCTGCAGCGGCAGGTTTGCGCGCGCCGGTCGCCGCGCGCCCCGTCCGCGGCGGACGCCGACGCCGACGGCACCAGCACCAGCGGTAGCGGCAAGGAGGTGTACCAGGGCGTGTATGGTCCGTGGACCGTCGAGCGTGAGGACGAAGTGGAGGTCTTATGGTGAGGGCGGCCCCTGTTAGCTTGCACCGCAAGCTGTTAATCCGCGCCATCCCTGCACCCTGCGCTGCTTCCCATGCACATGGCGACGCGCCACACAACCAGCTGAGACGTTGCACTACTGTTGCTGTTGCCCGCACAATTGCGCCTGCATGCAGTGACTGAATGATCTGCGAAATCGGCGCCTTCCGCTTGTCTTGCTCGTCGGCATTGCAGAGGCGACGCTAATTCCCATACGCAACCGCCTCTCTGCCACGACTGCCCGCCACAAACCCCTGCACCGCCCCCTCGCCTGCCAGCTACCGCCTCGGCCTCTCGGCCACCGCCCTGGCGCTCGTCGGCGGCACCGCGGCGGGGCTGTCGGGCGCTGACGCAGCGCTCGACCCGCTGAGCGCCCTGGGCGCTGCGGGGCTGGGGGTGTCTGTGTTTCTGATCCACGTTTACGTCGACCCCCTCAAGCGCTTCTTGCAGGTGCCTACCGCCTTGATGCGCCGCAGCAGCTGCAGCAGCAGCGTGCCTGGGCGGTGGCGACGGCAGCGCCGCAGCAGCAGCAGCAGCAGCAGCGGCCGGTGGGGATGGCGCACGCGTTCCCACCCCTCATGTAGTCATGTTTCCTGCCCGCCACTGCCGAATGGCTACAGGATTGCACGTTTTGCCACCCGCCCGCCGTCCTGCGCCCCTGTTGGCTCCCCCGCAGGTCATGTGGGCTGCGGGCGTCCTGGGTGCGGGGTACCTCGCTTTGGAGAAGTGCGGCGGCCAGCCCGTCGCGCTGTACGTGGCTGAGCACCCCTGGGCCGTCTGGCTGGTGGGGCCGTTCTTCGCCTCAATCACCGGTGGGCCGGCAACGACGGGGGCGGCAGCGCCGGCGAGCGTGCGGAGTGGGGCAAGACAACGCGCGGGGCGCGGCGCGCAGGAGCATTCAGATCTCCTGCTGTTGGGTGCTCTGTCCTTGGCTCAGCCTCTAAGCTTGCGCCCTGGCGCCCTGTTTCACATTGGTTTTCGCGCCTCATGTGCACCTCGCTGCAGGCATCGCTGTGAAAGAGGGCCTCTGCTATGGGAAGCCCGAGGCGGCAGGCGTCGCCGCGCTGCTACCGCTGCTGCTGCTCGGGCACCTCTCAGGCGTCCTGCCGGCGGCGGCGCTGCGCGTTCTCCTGTGCGCGTCTGCGGCGGCGACCGGCGTGTTTGCGGGGCGCAAGTACACTCAAGCTGTGAAAGATGACATCGGCGACAAGAGTGTATTTGAGTGAGTGTGCAGTGCAGACTCGGTTCTCATACGATTTGCTTTCAAATGAAGAGGCAAGGGCGGGATTGGCTAGGTGCACAACCATCTCGAGGTTGTGAGATAGAGTTTCGACCGGGGCAGGGGCTTGTGGGATTGGGTCCTGAAAACAAATCAAGGCGCCAGCCCTCACTGCCTCACGGCTGGGTCGGCCAATGGCTAGTTTCCGATGATCCATGCAGTTGAATGCAAGGCGGTTGTGCACCAATCCCCCGGGCCGCGGGCGGGCGTCTCTCGCAACTCTTCCACAATCACTGATTGCGCGCCTGAGCTGGGCCGTGCACATGCTTACCGATGCGCATGTGTGCCGAAACCGCTGTGCTGGCTGTGTCGCCTAGCGCACGGTGTACGTTCAAGCCCGCTGGCTTTAGCTAACCAGTCCCCTCATGCTTTTATTTCCTCTCCGCGGTGTGGCTGTGCAGGTTCAGGAAGCTGACCCCCGAGAAGCAGTCCGAGTTGATAGCTGAGATCCGTCTGCAGCGCGGACTGCCCGCGTCTGACGATGTATGAGTAATATGCGGTTGACGTGCGTGCCACGCGTCACAGCTGGGTCAGTGAGGGCCATGTGGTGCGCGCGCATAAGCGGGGCAGCGCCGAACTCTACGCCAGCAGTCAAACCAGCAGCCGCTGTCAGCACGTTTCAAAAGACACAAGCACAGGATTCACTCGCATCAGCGAGGGAAACGGCCAGCAGGGGCGAGTTGGCACTCCACAGCTCAAAGTAATCAAGTGTCGTTGTTGTGTACTACAAGTTATGATCGTTTCAGCGCAATCAAGGGGCTGCCTGCTAAGATTGCGCAAGCCGTGCATCCTGAAAGTGTTTGACTGGGGGTTTGACCAGCCTAGCTGTACAGGACAATGTCGATAGGGAGGGCTCGAACGACTGGCAGTGCACAAACGTGATTGTAACATGTTTTGTAAGCTCGCCCATCCGCCCTTGGGCAGCACGCCAAGGGATTCACCTGAGCGCCTCGGCCGCCGCCCACACGTGCGAGGCACAAATCTCGCAATCCAGATGGAATACGGGGCCACTCAGCTCCAATTATGAATTCATAAATACGATGAATATCGTCAATCTCTTCCTCGACGCCTCACGGGATGCCAGTCAAGTGGAACTTCCGACCCATAATATCGCACCCCAGGACTCTCCACCAGGTCCGGCCCCCACTCCATCACATACCAAGATGTTTGATACAACGATCCAAAGGACGACGGACGGTCTCCAAGGCTTGGGCGAAAGATTCTGTGCTCGGTCCACCGTCGACGACATGTGGTCGCACCGGCCCTGCTCTCCGGAGCTGGGCGATGGAGACCTCTGCTATGAGCTTCAATATGACATCAGTGGCCAGGTGGGGCTTGGGGTGCGATCCTGGCCGTGCGCGCGCCCCCAGCAGATCGATCCACCTGGAACGAGGGCTCCCCCGCGATCAGGTCATCCACAAACATACAAGCATTTACTTCCTTCCATCTGGAGCTGACCTCGCCTGGCCTGCTCTCTTCCTGCTTTCGTTGTGGTCCCCGTGTTTGCGCCAGGGGAGCCCGTCGGGCTCGGCTGCATCGGAAAGCGACGTCTGCTACGTTGAGAGTGAGTTCAAGCTTACGCTCGGCGCCCCGCAGAGGCACTGCTGCGCTCCGCAGGTTGTGTCTGACTGCCTCTGACCGCCGTCCCGCAGGTGTCGACGCGTGCGCGTCGGGCCTCAGCACACCAGCATGCATCTGGGGGCCCAGCCGCAGCGCGTGCAGCTCAGCAAAAAGCGAGTCCTATGCGGATCTCCTGCACGAGATGGAGGTGCGCAGAAGCCTGTCGCGCGGCGCGTGCGCTGTAGCAGCGCCCAGAGCAAGCAGATGCTGCTCCGCTGCCAGTCCAGCTGCCGCGCGCAGGCGGCAAACGGCCCACGCTCAAACTGCCCCGCAGCCAGCGCACCAAAACGGCCCGCCGTCAGCAGGCGCCGCCTCGCAGGCATCAGCACTCAGCAGGGCGCTGCACCGTCCCCTCCCGCCGACGACCCTTGCGCCGCGCGCACATGCGCCGCTGCTTGCCAGCTCCAGCCCGTCCCCTCACCGGTGCACCCCCCCCCTTCCCACCAGCTCTCCAACCGCGTGCCGCCGGACTACCTGGACTGCCTCCCGCCCGCCGCCCCCGGCGCGCCGCGCCTCACGCCGCACGCGCGCGCGAGCGCGGTGGACTGGATGATCGACGGCGCGTGGCAGCTCGGCGTCTCCAGCGACGCGCTGTTTCTCGGCGTGGCCCTGCTTGACCGATACCTGGCCGCCAGGGGGCCCGCCCCTGAAGGCTGCATGCCTCTGGCCGCGGCGACGTGCTTGTGGGTTGCCTCAAAGTGAGCCCCGAGCGGCGCCGCGCCGCTCCGCCGAGCCTGGCGCGACGGGTTTATCTCCGTTGCGCATGCAATCACCTTGTAGATCCATGCTCATCTTGATCCGCTGTGGCCGAAAAGGGATGGACCAGCTCGCCCTCCCCGCATGCCTGTTGTTGCAACAACTGCATGCCCCCCGTCGCACAATGCAGCGGCACAGCGCCCCGGCGCAGATCGACCCTCCCGCCTGCCGCACGCGCCCGTGCCTCACACCCGGGCCCCCCGCAACACCCCTCGCGCCCCTCTCACCCCCCCTCCTTGCCTCCCTCGTGACCCCCACCCCTCAGGTTTGAGCACATGCAGGCGCCACCGCTGGCCCTCTTCTCCCAGTGCCTGCTGCGCGGCGCCTTCCCGGCAACTGCCTTCCTGGACATGGAACAGGAACTGCTGCAGGTGATTGGCCTCGGGAAGCCTGAGACCTTGTCAGAGGCATTTGTCAGGAGTTCATGCGGTGTAGACTGCACGCACGTGCGCCTGCAGGGCAGCCCAAATGGGCTGGCGTGTCTGAGCGGGGCCGATTGACCGTGCACCCGGTGCCCTCGATGCGAGCCTCCGCCCCCTCCTCTCGCCAGCCGCGCCTCCTGCCGCGCGACCCGTGCCACACACCGTAAGAGCGCTCAGCACCCCGACGCCACGCACCCCGCTGACAACCCTCACACCACGCCTTCCCCACCTCCAATCCCCAATCCCCACCTCCCACTCCCAAACCCCCCAGGCCGTCGAGTACCGCCTGGCCTCCATCGCCACCGCCAAAACCTTCGTCCGCCTGTTCATGCACAACCTCGGAGAGCTCGAGGCTGCCCGCGGCGGGTCCAAGGTTGACGACGCGCTCTACTTCCTAACCTCGTACCTTGCAGAGTGCTCCCTCCTCGAGTACGGCCTGCTGTCCTGCCTGCCCAGCCGCGTCGCCGCGGCCGCGGTCGTCCTCGCGCACGCGCTGCTCGGGCGGCCGCTCTGCGCGGACCTGCTGCCGCGGCTCGCGGGCTTCGGCGCCGCCGAGCTCGCGGCGCCGCTGCGGTGGCTGCGGCAGGTGCACGCCGTACTGAACCAGGCGGGCGGGCTGTATGCCGTGTCGGTCAAGTACTCGCCGGCTGCGATGGGTGCGGCCGCCGCCGTTGCGCCGATCCTCAGCCCCGCAGACGCGCGCCTTGTG